TTTTGGAAGGTAGTAAAATATATTTTCACATGATAAAGACAGTTGTTTTGAAATTTAATAGAAATATTGAAAATAACTGCCTAAAATTCTGACTATCCTAAAATCTTGAAATAAATAAAATATTTATAATAAGCATGAAAAGTGCTCACATACAATGAGAAAAACAGCAGGAAGCCATTAACAATGGACATAAACAAACAGTTCACATCAAAATATGAGCAAGCCTATGTTAAAAGATTCTTCCATACATTACTTAACCTTTATAAATTATTATATTAGTTTGACCTTGTGGAAAGAAATCTGAAAACAACATATCAAACCATAAAAATGTTCACACTCTTTGGTGTGAACATTTATTCATTTAACAGAAAACCTAGTACTTACTTTGGTATGTGCCCCTAGCGGGAACCAAACCTGGGACTCTGTGGTCTACAGGCTGCCACTCCAACTGCTGAGCCAAACTGGCCAGGGCTAAACTTGATGCTCTTTTTTTTTTTTTTTTTTGGTACACTTCCCTAGCAGGAACTGAACCCGGGACTCTCTGGTCCACAGGCTGACGCTCAACCACTGAGCCAAACTGGCCAGGGCCTAGTACTTACTTTGTACCAGTCACTCTGCTAAGTAGTAGGGATTCAGTGGCAAACAAGAAAGACAAAGTCACCCTGGCTGGTTTGGCTCAGTGGTTGGAGCATCGGCCCACGGACCACAGAGTCCTGGGTTTGGTTCTGGCCAAGGGCACGGACCTCAGTTGCAGTTCATCCCCGGCTCCAGTTTGGGCTCATGTGGGTGGCAACCAATCGATGTGTCTCTCTCACATCAATGTTCCTCTCTCTCTCTCTTTTCCTCCCTTTCTCCCTCCTGCTGTATGTGAAGATAAATGCAAAAATGTCCTTGGGTGAGGATAAAAAAAAAAAAAAAAGAAAGAAAGACAAATTCTCAGCCTTCGTTTATACAAAATATCATTTTTTGGAGAAAGACGTAACATACATTAAGATCACATTGTTCATCCACTCTCTTGGTCTTTCTACTTTATTTTTAGCTCTTTCATCTCTCTTACTGGTTTCTTTTCATTTTCCTAATCTATTAACATTGGAAGGTGCTAAGACTCAGCCTCTGGACCTCTTCTCACTCACTTGATTGTCTTATTCAGTTTTATATCATCTATATGATGATAATCACCCAATTTTTTTCTCTACCCAGAACCGCTTTTTTAACCTTTAGACTCAACAGGTGGTCAGTAGCCTATTCAACATCTCTATTTAATCTTAATTAAATAATATGCCTTTATTTAGCTATAGTACCTACTACATGCCAGGTAGTACCATTGTGCTAAGTGCTAGGGATACAAAAATAAATACACAACTGCCCTCAGGAAGCTTACAGTTTAATGGAGAGGTTAGATCAACCAATAATCAGCTACAATACAGTCTGACAGATGCCATAACAGAGATTGTCATAAATTGAAATTAAATTTGTGTAATGATTGCACTATGAATTGTGCTTAAATTAATCTTTTTAACCCGCAGAGTCTTTCTTCAGTTCGTGTGGTAGTTTACATAAACTAAGTGAAGAGCCACTGATTCCTCCACCTCTTCCTCCTCGAAAAAAATTTGATCATGATGCTTCAAATTCCAAGGTAGTTAATCGGACTTAGGTTTGCCTCATCTCATTCAACATTGTAAATCTTTAAAATATTGATTGTTCTTCTAGAGTCTGTTCAAATTTGGCTACCCTTCATGGTTTTTAAACATGTAGATTGTTTTCTTTGTAAAATACTTTAATTATTTAATCTTCATAATACTTTTTCTAAAATAGAGGATGGGTAGATTCACAGATACTCGGAAGGTACATTTTCTTTCCTGTAGAGATGGAAATAACTTTAGTATTCAGAGCATTCTTCAAACTTTAGGGTGCATCAGAATCACCTGGAAGACTTGTTAAAACCAGATTGCCAGAGTTTCTGATTCAGTAAGTCTGGGGTGGGACTCGGTAATTTGCATTTTTAACAAATTCTCCATTGTTGCTGATACTGCTGGTCCAGGGACCACACTTTTTTTTTTTATCCTCACCGGAGGACATTTTTCCATTTTTTGTTCAGATAGGAGGGAGAGAGAGGAAGAGAGAGAGAGAAACGTCGACGTGAAAAGGACACATCGAGTGTCTGCCAACCACACAGCCCAACCAGGACCGAGGACAAACTGCAACCATGGTACATGCCCTTATTGGGAACCGAATCCGGGTCTCTCTGGACCACAGGCTGATGCTCTAACTGCTGAGCCAAACCGGCCAAGGCTGGACCACACTTTTCAAACCATGACTCTAAGCCTCACTGGGGAAAGTAGAAGTAGATAGCCAGAAAGCAGTAGCTGGATATTAAGTCCTCTTAACGTCATATTCTTTCATGTCTACAAAACTATATATTCTTCTCATTTATTTGCCTATTATTATCATTAAAATGCATAAGTTTATGAAATGTATATACAAAGCAAGATAACCTGTAGCATTATATTCTAAGATTTCAGTGAAAACATCTCACATATAAAAAATTAAAACTGGGCCCTGAATTAAACTGGGAGTAATTTATTCATAAATCTGATCATTAAATTCAAGTAACCTATTTTGAACCTCTGGATTTAACTTGACACATAGGAATTTTCATTCTTTTAAAAACTTTTTCTTCCAGATTTTTCAGAAGAACAGAAATATAATATAATTACTTTTTTTTAAAGGGAAATATGAAATCTGATGATGACCCCCCTGCTATTCCACCGAGACAACCTCCTCCTCCAAAGGTAAAACCCAGAGTTCCTGCTCCTACTGGTGCATTTGATGGACCTCTGCATAGTCCACCTCCACCACCGCCAAGAGATCCTCTTCCTGATACCCCTCCACCGGTTCCCCTTCGGCCTCCAGAACACTTTATAAACTGCCCATTTAATCTTCAGCCACCTCCACTGGGACATCTTCACAGAGATCCAGACTGGTTCAGAGACGTAAACATGTGTCCAAATTCGCCAAACACTCCTCCTAGCACACCCTCTCCAAGGGTACCACGTCGATGCTATGTGCTCAGTTCTAGTCACAATAATCTTGCTCATCCTCAAGCTCCCCCTGTTCCACCAAGGCAGAATTCAAGCCCTCACCTACCAAAACTGCCACCAAAGACTTACAAACGGGAGCTTTCACACCCCCCAGTGTATAGACTGCCTTTGCTAGAAAATGCAGAAACTCCTCAATGACCTTAGCCATATGTAGTCATTGACACTGGAATGGTATTTGTAAAGGTTTTTTTTAATTTATTAAAAAAAGGCATAGTATTTTAGTACTTTTTACAAATAATGCTCTTAAAAATGCTACTGATCAAATAAGCTTTTAAAATTGGAAAAATAAAAATACAAAAGTCCTTTGCAATTATCCTCAGGTGATCAGTAGCATTGCCTTGTCTTGGATCCTCAGTGCTGCCAAAAGGCCAGTATAAAAAATTTATATTTGCACTGTAGACTCTGCTAAAATATGGTTTAAAGTGACATTGATTGCACTGAAAAGGGATAGTGCATTTATGGAATTTTTCAAATTTGAGTAATAGCTGCCTTTTTAAGGCAATAAATTTACACAAATATAGGGGGTATATGGTGTTACTGATTTTTAAACCTCTTGGACCATCTTCTAGTTTTTACATTTAGGAGAATTGTGAATAACACCCACTGTTCTTAAACTCTTTAATGCCATGTCTTAAATGCCAGAATTTGCTGCTGAAGACAAAAATGAAAATAGAATGAAAAGAATAGAATGCACTGTGTTTATTATTTTGTCAAAATGTAAACAAAAAGACTACCTAACCCAGTCATAGAGGAGAAAAGGGCATGTGTCTTACTCAGATGTGCCTTTTGTTTTTGCAGAATATGGTGTCTTTAGCTAATGAGTTGCCTATTGTTTTGGAAAACAAAGTTAATATGCCATGTATGTACAGTTTTGTTTATATTGTATATTTAAAGATAATGCTAATAACCTATATAAATTTAAGTGACTCAAGGCCTATAATACAATCTGCTACTTTACTAATTCATAAATTCAAAGGAAACGTTTCTTATGGCATAGTAACCAACTACCTTGCCTTCAAAACCTAGTAATTTTCTCTATAAATCTTGTGTTAACTAAAATTTTTTAAATATTTTTTTTAGATTGGTAATATTTAAACCAGCAAATACTTAAAGCTTTATTAAACCTTTTAATCAGAGAAGTGAGTACAATTTTTCTTTGCCATTTGGTCTCCTTTGTTCAAAGTGATGAAAAAGTGTGTGTTGCTGATAGTGCTGTAGCAGCAGTTGTAAGGTAGCCAAAGCCACTTTGTTTATTTACTGGTCTGTGGCCTTTTACTGTGCTTTGTATCAGAGTGCTTAACAAGATTAATAAATCACCCCAGTCTTAATTTTTAAAAGACTTTTAAAATGTGTTTTCAGTATAAGGAACAAGGAGGGGTGGGGAGATTGTTGAGTTATTTAGAAATATTTATACACACATTATTTTCAATATTTTTGTACTTCAGTTACATAATCCCAAAGCATATAATTGATGTAAATTTTAGCGGAATAACTGTCTTCACTGCTAAACGCAATCAGCAAGCTTCAAGCAACCATTTTTATGAATTCGGATGAGAAATTAGGAGCATGTTGGTAACTCTTGATGAGCAGGATTATAGCCATCCTTGTTAGGATGGATTTAAACCCAATAACTACTGTGTGAGTCAATCTCCAATCAGGTAAAAACATTCTGCAGTAGGCTTTGTTTTTTAAAGAGCAGACTATAATACTCCCATTGTCTGGGAAAGTGATTTAAACTGCCTGTTCCTTAAACCAGGCTTGTAATTTAAGGAGGAGAGCAGCAGTGCGGCACGCAGGGGAAGCCGGTGGCCCAGCACTCGGCCACGCCCAGGAATTGCGGCCTTCCGGGCTTTGTACCTTTGCTCACGAATCGAGGCACCAACTCCGCCACTAGGAGGCGCCGGGCTCCTTGCAAGGTGGGGCCTCAGGGTGGTGCGCGTGGGTGTGACGTCACTTCGTGCGCCGCATCCTGTTGCCGGGCAGCAATGGAGCCTTCTCTGGAGGCCTCGGTGGAGGACCCATTGGAGAACTTTGTGCGAATTTTGGAGAAGAGAGATGGCACGGTGCTACGACTGCAGCAGTATGGCTCCGGAGGCGTGGGTTGCGTAGTATGGGACGCTGCCATTGTTCTTTGTAAATACCTGGAAACGCCTGGGTTTTCCGGTGATGGGGCCCACACGCTGATCCGGCAGTCAGTGCTGGAGCTGGGCTCCGGAACCGGGGCTGTGGGGCTCATGGCCGCTACCCTTGGGTAAGAGCTGGCGGGAGGGGTGTCGCTTTGTTTGGGAAACTGATCATTGGCTTCCCACCCGTGTGCCTACGCCTCAGTCGACGTTATTTTATAGGGCAAATGTTGTAGTCACCGATCTTGAGGAATTGCAAGACTTGCTGAAGATAAATATTAATATGAACAAGCATCTTGTTACTGGTTCTGTTCAAGCCAAGGTACTGAAATGGTTTGTATGGTCTTTCGGCTTGTTTTTAATAACAATTTGTAGTTTGTTTTAAATTGCGTTTTACTAAAAGCATGGTTAATACGAAGGGGATCTTCCGGGTCTTGTTTTAAAAACAAGAGTATTTTAAATTATTAAAGCAACAGTTAAAATATTTGGTTGACATTTTTAAGGGGAGAAGAAATAGAAGACTTTCCTTCTGCTCCAGACTACATACTGATGGCCGACTGCATATACTATGAAGAGGTAAATATTCAATGAGAGAAGTCTCTTTAAAAGATGTGCTGTATTTCCTGGATTCTAGAACACACATCTTTTCACATTTTAAGATATCTGAATGTAGGATGTTTGTCCTATAGTTAATGACACAGTTAAGAGAAATTGAGATCACCAGGGAGTAGGTATATACACTCATGATTAACACATAGGCCCGTGAATCACGTCGAGAAAAGTATTATATGCCTTTTACTATAAAGGCTTCTGTAAAGTTTTCAAAGGTTTTTGCCATTTGGATCTGTTAAGAAAAGCTAAGCTTTCTTTTCTTTCTTTTTTTTTTTTTAGTTAGCTGTTCCTAGTGAACATGTTAAGCATGATGGTGAGAATTAAGTTGCATTGTAAGGAATTCATTGTTCTGTGGCAAGATTTATTAGACTCAGATTGTTTTTTTAAATTATCGTTTTGTGTAAAGCATTGTAGACATCACTAGTTTTTTAAAATAATGAGCATTTGGCCCTGGCCAGTTTGGCTCAGTGGTTAGAGCGTCAGCCTGCGGTCCAGAGAGACCCAGGTTCGGTTCCCGCTAAGGGCATGTGCCTCCGTCGCAGTTTGTCCCCGGCCCTGGTTGGGTTGTGCGGGTGGCAACCACTCGATGTGTCCTTTTCACGTCGATGTTTCTCTCTTTCTCCTCCTCTGTCTCCCTCCTACTCTATCTGAACAAAAAATGGAAAAATGTCCTCAGGTGAGGATAAAAAAATAAAAATAATAAAATAAAATAATGAGCATTTAGTCCATTTATGCTCAGATTAAGCCAGACTTGCTTTTGATGGTAAATATAGTATTAAATCCCAAGTTAAATTAGATTAAATAAAATTGAAATTTTAAGAGTGTAATCAATTCCATTTGCTTTCCCATAGGACCTAAAAAATGCAATTACTTGAATCCTTCCTTTCGAAACTGAAGTCAATAAAATAGTTAAGAAGAGTTTACCTTTAAAAAAAGAGAGTTTACTAACCATCAGAGTCTAAACTACATGTACTTTGTTGGATTGGTTCAAAGATGAGTAAATTGTAGGGAAAGTATAATTTCTATCTCTGCCTTCCCTACCCCAATTTTACAGTAAAAATACAAAATTTTTTATAAACAAAATTCTGTATTTTTTTTTTTGAACAGTCTTTGGAGCCGCTATTGAAAACTCTAAAAGATCTCAGTGGATCTGAGACTTGTATTATATGTTGTTATGAACAGCGAACAATGGGAAAAAATCCAGAAATCGAGAAAAAATATTTTGAGGTAGGTACTCTACTAGATCTATCTTTGTAATGATTATCCTTCAGGGAAGCAAGTGTATGCCTGTGTGTTACAAGTATATTATGATAATTTTGAGTAGGGAAAACATTCTGCTTGTGTGAACCCAAGGATTCTTCACGGACCATCATTCTATTAAGCCCCCTTCCTTTTTTCATCTTGGCTGATTCTTAATTTCTTTCTTTTCTAATTAGTTGATCTAATATATAAAGAACAATGTAAAATAATAGTGGTGATGCCCTTGTCTTTTCTGAGAAAGTTTACAGTGTTTCTTTATTAAACATGCTGGCTTTGGGGAACATATTAATGATATATATATTACTTTTGGAGACTACATCATAGAAACATGGTATGTGGTATATCTTTACTTTCTTTTCCTCTACATTTTTGTGAAAGCTTTAACCAAGATAACTGTTTTTGGGGTTTGCTTTTTTTTTTAAATATAAAAACTCACAGGAATTTGCCAAAGTAATAATATATGTAGTTCCATGTATCTTTCACCAACATTTTTTGGTTTTTAATGTTTTTTTGTTTTTGTGGTTTATTTTAGAAAGAGAGGAAGGGAGAGATAGAAACATTGACGAGAGAGAAACATCGATATCACATCTATTGGCTGCCTCCTGAACACCCCCTGTTTGGGATCGAGCCCACAGCCTGAGCATGTGCCCTGACCAGGAATTGAACTGGCAACCTATTGATCCATGGGTAGACTCTCAACCATTAAGCCACACTGGTCTGGGTGATTTTTTTTTTAAATCTCACCTGAGCATGTTTATTGATTTTAAAGTGAGAGGAAGGGAGAAAGAGAGGGGGAAACATCAGTGTGAAAGAGAGAAACATTTATAGATTGCCTCCTATATGTGCCCTGACCATGGATTGAACCCACAACCTTTTGGTGTAGGGACAGCACTCCAACCAATTAAGCTATCCATCTAGGCCCAAACCCTTTATATGAGCAAAAATCCATCATATTACAAGTGACTTATTTTGAGGGTTCATACGTGTGTGTATATATAGTCCTGCCGCTTTATCCACTGAAAGGACTACTTTGGTTAAATGGGAAAGCAAATATATGACTCTCAGATATATGCTGAAATGTTTTTATTTTTTTTTTTCTTGAATGTGAGGAATATTAATGAACTTTAAAAGACTTATCATTGAACGTTTTATATTGTTAAACAGTTTCAATTGAGTTAAAATATGTAAAATACACACATAGCAAATGTTCAGCTCGGCTCAATTTTCCATGTGTATACACCCAAGTAACCACTACCCAGCATAAAGATATGGAACATTTTCACAACCTCAGAAGGTCCCACATGACCCTTCCCACTCAGTACTCCAGAGGTAACCGCCATTCTGATTTCTCTAACCGCAGGATAGTTTGTATTACTGAATTTGAAGTATATCTCTTTTAAATTTATAGCTCCTTCAACTAGACTTTGACTTTGAAAAAATTCCTTTGGAAAAACATGATGAAGAATATCGAAGTGAAGATATTCATATTTTATACATCAGAAAGAAAAAATCGGTAAATACATACCTGGCTCTTTATCCTCTGAGGAGGTTTCTTTAGCTAGATTCTGTCTCTGAGCTTATGTGTAGGGTAGGTGTTGATTTTGATGTGCGGAAACAGCTATGATGATTCACTGGACTCCGGCACTAACTCAATATTAAGGTCATTTTATCTGGCACCAGGTTCTTCCTCAGGCTTCTTTAAAAGTCCTTTCCAGCCCTGGCCGGCTTGGCTTGGGTTAGAGCATTGGCCTACGGACCAATGAGTCTCAAGTTCTATTCTGGTCAAGGGCAGGTCCCTTGGTTTTGGTTCGTCGCCCCCCGCCCCCCCCCCCAGCCCTGGTGGAGGTGGTTTGGGAGGCAACCAGTTGATGTGTCCCTCGCACGTTGATGTTTCTCTCTCCTCCTCTCCCCCTCTCCGCTTCCCTCTCTCCCCCCTCCCCCTATACCCCTCCTTTCTTTCTCCTTCTCTCTCCTTCCCTCTCCCTCCCTCCCACTCTATCTGAAGATGAATAGAAAAATATCCTCCGGTGACGATTTAAAAAAAGAAAGTCCTTTCCAGCTGTAAATTATATAGCTTTATAATTGGGTGTTACCTCAGATAAGTAACTTAGCTATTTATAGGTTTCTGTTATCTTTTAGAGATTTTAAAGTGCCAGTTTTTACTTTTGTGAACTTTCTCCAGCCATTCAAAAAATTTTAATAGTCAAAATAAAATATAACAATACTTCCCTGGTGGTCTAGTGGCTAGGATTTGGCACTTTCCCCACTGTAGCTCAGGTTTTATTCCTGGTCAGGAAAGTTAGTATGTTGAATCACTATATTGTACACTTAAAACTAATACAATATTTATGTCATCCACACTTTAATAAAGAGTGAATTTTAAAAAGTAAAATATAGCAAGGCATATCTGTCCAAAAATGAGAAATGCACTCAGTTAAATAGAATTTATGTATGTTTACCTTTTGCTGCTTCCTTTATTTGCCTAGAGTTTGACTCTGTATAAAGGAAGAATTATATCCTGTTTTTTGAGAGAGAGAGACTAGAAGGAGGGAAGGGAGAGAGAGAGCAAGAGAGAGAAACATCGATTTGAGAGAGACACATCGATTGGTTGCCTCCCACACATTCCCTGACTGGAGCCAGGGATCAAATCTGCACAACCCAGGTATGTGCCCTTGACTGGGAATTGAACCTGAGACCCTTCGGTACATGGGCTGACGCTCTAACCATTGAGCAACACCAGCCATGTTTTATCTCAGCATCTTTAATATACGTGACTGGTTGGTATAAGACGGATATGATTAATTTTGTGAATTAAGGATGTTAAATTTAATAACACACATTTCTGTTATCGTTGCTTTTGATTGAATTTGTTCATAATGAAGTTTTACGATTATGTAAATTCTAGCCAAAAGCAAATAACTTATAATTTGGGGGTAATACAAATCAACCAACTTTTATGTGGCATGAAGCTGGAGATACAAAGATTTTTAAAAATTGGTTTTAATGCCATAAGGGAACCATTTTTAGTTGAAGTTGTGGCATAGTTTTAAAAGTAGAATTTTATTTGAGGCATAAAGATTTTGTTTTCTAAATATAAAGGCTTTATTTTGGCAAAGAATCATTTCCTTTTTAAAAATTGATAGAATTCATGTACCATAAAATTCACCCTTTTAGAGTGTTTTTAGTATATTCACAGAGTTGCATAAACCATCACCACCTTCTAATTTTAGACATATTTATTATCTATACAGGTATTCCTTGTTTCTGAAAGTTCACATTATGCCATTTTGCCTTTACGAAAGACCTATATTTGTATGGTAGTGGCTTCTGTAAAAGCGAAAATTCTCTTTGGATTTCTTTTGCTAAGTGAAAATGGGTGCTAATATAGGTCTTTCATAAAAGTGAAGTGGCATAATGCAAAAGCAGGGATATTTTTTGCTTTATGCTATTTCATCTTATGAAAGGTCTCACAGGAATTCATGGCGGGGGGACGCTTATACATGGAATCACACACTATGTGGCTTCCTGGGTCTGGCTTCTTTCACTCAGCACAGTGTTATTAAGGTTCAGCTATGTTGTAGCATACATCAGCACTTAATTCCCTTTTTATAGTTGTATAATATTTCTTTGTATGGATATACCACACCGTATCTATCCATGCACCACTTAATAGGCCTTTTAATATTTTTCACTTTTTGGCTGTAATGAATAATATTACTATTTTTGTGTAACATACATTTTTTAATTTCTTGGGTATATTCCTAGAATAGAATTGCTAGGTCATATGGGAGCTCTATGTTTAAATCTGTGAGGAATTGCCAAACTGTATTTCAAAGCTATTACAACGTTTTACTTTTCCACCAGCAACGTTGTGAGGGTTCCAGTTCTCTCTGTCTCACCAACACTTGTCATTGCCCGTCTTTTTTTTGTTCAGATAGAGTAGGAGAGAGAGAGAGAGGAAGAGAGAGAGAGAGAAACATCGACGTGAAAGGGACACATCGAGTGGCTTCCACCTGCACGACCAACCAGGGCCGGGGACAAACTGCAACTGAGGCACGCGCCCTTAGCAGGAACCAAACCCAAGTTTCTCTGGACCGCAGGCCGACGTTCCAACCACTGAGCCAAACCGGCCAGGGCCCGTCTTTTTTATTATAGTCATATTAGTAGGTATGGAGAAATTATAGTTGTAAAGGTTTTTTATATATCTGGATACTGGACTCTTACCAGATACATAACTTCCAAATACTTTCTCCCATTCTGTAAGTTGTCTTTTCATTTTTTTTAATAGTATGTCCTTAAGCACAAAGGTTTTTAATTTTGATGATGGCGAATGTATCTGGTGGTTATTTTGCGGGGAGGGGGGGTTACTTGTGCCTTAGGTATCAGCAAAGAATCATATCTCTAAACATTATGCATGTTGTTCATTTGAATTGCATTTAGCATGTTACCTAGTATTAAGTACCCAGTACATACTTAATTTGTAATAATAATTCATTCTGTAAAGTTTTTTTGTTTTGTTTTTTCTTATAGAAATTTCCATCGTGAAATTTTTAGTCATCTTACCCAAGCTTCTAACAGCCTGGGTAAGCTAAAGATGTGAATGGAGCATGTGAATATAGCATGCGAAGATTGTGTTCACAGATTTTTCCGGCATATCCTTAGAGATCTGATATATAGACAACAACCGTCATGGGCTGCCTGCAAAATGAAAAATGACTGCCTGCCTGCCAATGGGCCTGAAATCCAACTTAGTTTACTTTTAGCTCAGCATCAAGTTCTGCTTAAAAGAAACATTGTGTATTAGTCACTCCTCAAATAAAAATAGGTATTGAGGTTAGCCTAAGGTCTGCCAAAAATAAACAGTGAAGCAACATGGTTGACTTGGCTTATTTTCTGGAAATTAGAGATAAATTGATCCAGTTTCTAAAGAGAAATATCTATTGCTATATAATAAAGTTTAGATTCAAATCAGTAAATTTTAGTTTGTCTTCAAGATAGCTAAAGTTAAAAGGTTTTCATTTCAACATAATTATGCAGTGGTTTTTTTAGTCATGTATCTTCCACTTTGTTGCTTTTAGGATAGCTTTAATACTTAAATGTTCTTTTGTGGTTTAAAAAACACAGCCCTGGCTGGTTTGGCTCAGTGGTTAGAGCATCGACCCGTGGACCAGAGGGTCCTGGGTTCGGTTCCCGCTAAGGGCACGTACCTTGGTGGCCGTTTGTCCCCAGCCCCAATTGGAGTTGTATGGGTGGTAGCCAGTCGATGTGTCTCTCTCATGTCAATGTTTCTCTTTCTCTTCCCCCCCTTTCTGACCTGCCGTTCTATCTGAAAATAAATGCAAAAATGTCCTCGAATGAGGATAAAAAAATTAGAAAAAAACAAACACAACATTTTGTATAGTCACATTGGCCAAAATTATTATTTTCCCCTACCATACATATCTGCATAGTTAGATAGTAAATTATACTGTAGAGGGTTGTTAAGAGTAAAAGTTAAGAAATCAGGAGATTAGGAATGGGAAATGGAGTGAGAATAAAAAGCCCATTTTCAATCTTGTCCACTTATGTGGCTCATGTACTTTTCTCATGTATATCTTCCAGGAAAAAGTGGCTAAAAATCACTGTTAACTTGTTTACATGAAACTAACATTTTTAAATAACTGCAGATGTCGTTCTATATATATTTAGTAAGTGATTTTATCTGTGGTGTCTTTTTATGTTATGATAATCATCTGCTCACAGACTGATGTCAACCTTATGTCTCACCAGTTCCAATGAGTAATAGTAAACAATAGGATTCTGGTACTTACAGGCATTGGAGCTAGGTGGCACATTTTATGTGTTAAAATAAATACTCTTTTTGAGATCCTGTGACTTTGTGAATGTTTCAGAAATAGCTTTGAAGAAAATGAACATCTGAAGCAACTAACTGCTTTCCAGAAAGAACAAAAGCAGCCCTTTAGAGAAATTAAGGATCAAAGTCAAGAGAACAGTTTTTTCCTTCAGGCTTACTTCAGTCTTTAATTTGTTTTGCTGTTCTTTTTCAAATACCTTGTTCATACTGCCCTTAGCATTTTGTTAAGCAGTTAATATAACCTAAATATGTGATACTTTGTTGCAGAGAGCACTAGTTACTAGTAAAGTCTTATGATGAATGACCACTTTCTAGCTTGTTCCATAATATAGTTGACTTGTAAAACTAAATTTGATATTGACTATCTGTAGTAGGCTACTCAGATTCCTCAGATCGCTTTTCACCCTCCTCCCCTTTTCACTATATTCGTAATATGCAGTATCCTTGTGGGTCTTCAGCCTAAAGTGTGTCCCTTGACATTCCTATATAAAAGCCCAGCTCCTTTACCTCAGATAGGTGTACCTTACACTTCAAAACTTCCTGGAGGAGTCAGGCTGAGGTCAGCCTCTATTCAACTTGACCAGAATCACATCCTTGTGTGTTCTTCCTCCCCTTCCTGTCCTATTCCCATTCCTTTACTTGACTTAATGTCTCCTTAATAAGTTACATAATAAATGCATACATTCATCACTTTCTGGAGAACTAAGTTATTGACTGTAGGGTTAAAGTAATCTGTAACAGAAAGTCAAGTGGGATTTCTTCCCCTCTTCTGGAATGAGGCCAAAGTGGACGTTAAAAAGTTATCAGGTGTTCACATGACACACCCTATCATTAACCACTGTTCCCCGCTCGCCAGGGAGGCCTGGGAGAGGTCTTAGAGGAATGCAGTGCAGAGGAATGGGATGTAGTCCTTTGGCTCTGTCCTGAGAGGGGAAGCAATGCATCTGCACTTAGAAATCACAGAAGGGAGGCCTGAGAATAATTTAAGATTCTGGATCCTTCCCAAGGACCACCTGGTTGGATTTGGATTTGCCCAGCAGATCAGCACATTTGTTGATTTATCCAGAGCACAGGAATGGAACTGGAGAGGTAATGTGGGGACTGCCAGGCAGAGAGGTATCAAAAATGGATCCTGCCAGCCTGAGAGCTGATACATGAATTGAGGGCTAGAGAACAGCAATTTGAGGAGGTTACAAGGCAGGTGCAACAGATGAGTGAGGTGCGATGCCACTTGGCTGGGATAACTCAAAGAATAGCCAGTGTTGGGTGGAGCTGCTCAGGCATGAGCCTCTGACCCTTCACACTACTGCACAGTGAAACCCCGAGTGCACTTATCAGAACAGTTATAGCCAATTAGGGACCCCACACAATGAGGCAGTGTTTCTCAAACTAGGCTATACATGGATCACCTGGAAAATTAAAAGCAAACCAAAACCATGCTCAGGCCCCATCCCAGTTCAGTTATATCAGAGGCATGGTATTTTTGTTAAAGGGCTCCAGATGGTTTTCATGTATAGCTTAAATTGAAAGATACTGCAATAAGGAAACTTAGCATCTACTTCCCAAACAGAAGAGCAAAGGGAGGAGAAATATGAAAACAAACTATCTGTGATTAGAGGGGGCCTATACTGCATAGGGAGGAAAAGAGCTTTGAATCCGATGCGGAATCTTCTATGAAATAGATTTTAAAATAGAAACTGACCAAATATCTGATAATTTAGAGAATCTGGCCAAGAAGGTAAAGGTGGCAATAGAACGGGGCATTCAATAACTGGAAAAAGAAAAGTGTTAACAGATATAGTCACCAATGATTTGGGTCTCCTCTGAGGCTACATAGCTTTAAATCTTAAACTGCTACAGTTCATAACCAGGGGTCCATAGGTCATATGTTTGGTGAACTTGGGAGTGAAGTTAGGTTATTTTAAATTATTTTAGGAAGTATTAATAATCCCAAAGGATTTGTAATGGGATTTTTATATAGCATATCTTTTACATTTTTCTTACCATTTTTCTTGAAAGTTTCCTTGTTATATGATGCCAAATACAATATTAAACTTAGACTACAGATGTATTCATTTCAAAAATGAGAGTCATAGAACTGACTTGTTGTTTTTCTAAAGGTTCCCTGTAGGTGGCAATGCTTGACTTTGTCTTTAGTTTATAGAAAGGAAATTGTTAAAATGAATATTTTCAAATGGAATCACACTTGATTCCTACCTATTATGAGTTGCTTTCAGAATATAACATGATTGTCTTGGTCTGTTTGGGCTGCTCTAACAAACTATCAACAATTGGGTGGCTTATTAACAACAGAAATTTATTTCTCACAGTTCTGGAAGCTGGGAAGTTGATAAGCTCAAGGTGCCCACTTCCTCATAAGCAGCTGTTCCCACTGTAACCTCACTGGCAGAAGGGGCGAGTGAGCTCCCTGCAGTCCCTTTTATAGGGCACTAATCCCATTTATGAGAGCTTCATCCTGTGACCACATCTCCCAGAGGCCCCACCTCCAAATACCATCATATTGGGGAAATAGGTTTCAACACATGAATTTGGGGGTGACAGACATTCAGATCATAACAGTATAAGTGAAACTGGATTTTTTTCTTATAAAATTGTATTTGGTTTATCTTTTTGTCCATTGCATTCTGATATGCCTTTTGAATTTTTGAATGTCATTCATAAAGCTACATAAATTGCAATTTATAAACCATTTCTCTGCGATCTTCTATGAGAGACAGACATTTAAGTGGCTAAATTCAGGTTCTTAAAATTAAATTCACTTTGAAAGTACCTTTTATATAATGCATGATTTTACATCTGAGGTACTTGAACTTACTAATTAATTTTAATTAGTTTTTCAAACCAGTGTATCTTCCTCACTAGAGTTGTAAGTAGATTTTACATCAAAGACTGGAGCTCTGTCTTTGGCTATACCTCATTCCTGTAAGCTTCAGCCAGCTATTTGACTTTATAAGTTTTTCTTTTTCTTCAAGGGACATCAGATTTTGAAAGAGTTTTTGATTCATTGGTAATAAACATTGTAAAAGTAGAACATTCAATTTTCATACCATAGAGACTTCGATGTAATACAAATACCGGGGAAAAATTGACAACAAAATTTTACTGAAAATCAAGTAATGGAAAAGCAAAATTTTTACTTTATATATTTTGAGTGGGGAAGCAGTACATTCTCAAATCATTTTCACCAATTAGGTTAAAACTGTTAATATTTGTGGTTATTTAAGACATTGTCTTAGGTCTTATGTGTTGGAGTTCTGTGAAGATCTAGTGTGTCCATCGATTGTGAGATTCATGTAATTCATTATTAATAAGATAGTTTTCAAAGTAATAGACATTTAAATGTTAGAGCAAATTATCTCCATGATGTTTTTCCCATGTGCATTCTGAAACAGTGTTGTTCAGAGCACAATGTCAGAGACTGGATTATTTGGGTTTGAATCCCAGTTCTGCCGTTACTGGCTGTGTGACCTTGAGGAAGTTAGTTAAACTCTGTGCCTCAGTTTTCTCACAGGTAAGGTGATGATCATAATAGTATCTACCTCATAGTTTGCCATAGGAATTAAATCAATTTGACACATGCAAGGCACATAGGTACCTGCCACACAATAAGTGTTATGTAAATGTTCTGATTATAGTAGGGGTGGAATTATTTTACATGTGGAGACAGGAAATGTGAATAATGCAAGTCCATTTTTATCCATGTTGCAGTGCAAAATGTGGGTGTCTTTTTGACAGTATAGGATCCAGGTAAACATCACTCCTCCATCGTGGTGGGAGGAGGTTGAGAACACTTCCACAGTGCGGTTACTTGAACAAGTAAACAATTTTTAAAAGAAAGAAGAAAATATGGTGGAAGAGAAACTTTTGCTGTTTATTTCTATGGTTCTAAAGCAAGTTCTGGGAGCATTCAAAAGCAAGTCGAGCCCTGCCTGGTGTGGCTCAATTGGTTGGGCGTCGTCCTGTACATTGAAAGATTGCTGTTCGATTTCCGGTCAGGGCACATG